GCCGCCGCCTCCCCAAGTGCCGGCCTCACAGGCGCGGCCCACCGCCCCCGGCCGGGAGAAAGCAGACAACGAAGCGGCTAGAGCGGATCTTAGATGCGAACGTCCTCGCCCCGGAGGACTCGAGACGGCTGTGACCCAGCTCTTCATGCCCCCCGGTCATCGCTGCCCCGACCCAGAAGCAGGAGATTCTGTTCGCCCCGAAAGCCCTGGGGACCGCTTCCCCGGCCGTTAGACTTCTTGGCTTCAACCTCACATAAGGGGAATCCACTCTTTTGATCCTGGCTTTTCTATTCCTGATGCATTTTTTCCTTTTAAGGTCAACTTTATTAAGTCTAACTTACAGTAAAACGAACCCATTTTAAGCGTATACGTTGAGATTTGACAACGCTTTAACGCGGAACATCCCCTAATCAAGATTATAGAACATTTCCATTCTTCTAGAAGGTTGATTTGTGCCTCTCTGAAGTCAAGCTCCTCTCCCCTCTCCCCAGGAAACTACTAATCTGCTTTCTGTAACTGTAGATTAGATTGGGGTTGGTTTTTTTTTTTTGAGTTGGAGTCTCACTCCGTCGCCCAGGCTGGAGTGCAGTGGCACACTCATGGCCACCCCAGTGTCTACCTGCTAGGCTCTGGTGGTCCTTCCGCCTCAGCCTTCCAAGTAGCTGGAACTACAGGTGCACGCTACCGTGCCCGGCTAATTTTTGATTTATTGCAGAGACGAGGTCTCACCAAGTTGCCTGGGCTGATCTCAAACCCACGGGCTCAGGCAATCCACTCACCTCGGCCTCCCAAAGTGCTGGGGTTACAGGCTGATCAGATTGGTTTTGTGAAGGGAGGCATGTATTAAGCACTCTTTTTGGTCTGCCTTCCTCTTGTTCAGCATGTTTGTGAGGTTTATCTGTGCTGTTTTCCAGTGGTTTATCCCATGTAGCACAGTTTTTGGCTAAAAGCCTAGAGCTCAACCAGGTGTAGTGCCTCACATCTGCAATCCCAGAACTTTGGGAAGTTGAGGTGGGAGATGGTTTGAGCTCAGGAGTTCCAGACCAGTCTGGGCAACATAGCAAGAACTCAGCTCTACAATAAAAAAATTAGCTGGGGACAGTGGTGCGTACTTGTAGATCCAGCTACTCAGGAGGCTAAGGTGGGAGGATCATCAAAGTTCAAGAGGTTGAGGCTTCAGTGAGCTGTGATTGTGCCATTCTACTCCAGCCTGAGCGACAGAATGAGACTCTGACTCAAAAAAAAAAAAAAGCATAGAGCTTGCATAAAACTTCCTGTACATGGCCTTGATCTTGATTTAACAACTCTTTAAGGTTCTATCTAGTAGATGAAACTGACTTTGCTAATGAATCTTCTGCCTTGGGCACTAAGGCTATTTCCAAATGTAGGGGCAGAAAAGGTGTGACCCCTCTCCTCACCTGCCATCAGAGTCACGGCCAACAGTCCTATAGCAAGAGAAAAGCATGGCACATTTATTTAATCAAAGTTTTACTCGACATGGGAGACTTCAGAAACAGAGATTCAAAGACCTGGGGAAACTGTGTGTGCTTGGGCTTGGGTTCGAGAAGAATGGGAGTCATGTAGAAATGGGGCTGGGGCTGGGTGTGGTGGCTCATGCCTGTAATCCCTGCAATTTGAGAGGCCAAGGTGGGAGGATTGCTTGACCCCAGGAGTTTGAGACCAGACTGGGCAATGTAGTGAGACCTTGACCAGGCTGGATGGAGTACAGTAGTGGCGCAATCATGGCTCACTGCAACCTCATCCTCCTGAGCTCAGGCGATTCTCCCATCTCAGCTTCCCTAGCAGCTGGAACTATAGGCGTGTGCCACCATGCCTGGCTAATTTTTTGATTTTTTTTTTTTTTTTAGTAGAGACAGAGTCTCGTGATGTTGCCTAGCCTGGTCTTGAATTCCTGGCCTCAAGTGGTCCTCCCACCTCAGCTTTCCAAAGTGCTGGGACTACAGGTGTGAGCTACTGTGTCTGGCTGATTTATTTATTTTTTTGTTGCGACGCGGTCTCACTATGTTGCCTAGGCTGGTCTCTGACTCCTGGGCTCAAGTGACCCTCCCGCCTCGGCCTCACAAAGTGCTGGGATCACAGGTATGAGCCACCGTACCTGGCCTAAAGGATACTTTTCTTCTGCAGGGGTCATTTTTGGGGTCCCCAAAGCCCCTCACAACCCTCCTACCTGTGGGCTGGCTTCCTTCTCTCTCACACTCCCTCTCTCGGGCTACCCCAGACCTGCTGCTTGGAGACCTGGCCTCCAAAGGGGTGTAGGGGTCCCTTCTCCCTCCACAGTGCTGGGCGTGCTAAGGTATCTGGAAGCCCCCTGCTGACTTGAGTTCAGAGCCTTCCCCCTGCCCTGGCCTCACTCCCCCACGTGGGAAGTCAGTTCAGAGCAGCAGAGAAAGGGTAGTGCTGGAGGTCTTGCCCTGTGGCCTGGGACAACCCCGGTTCCTCTCTCTGCCCTGGACACACCCACAACGAGGGTAAAGGCTCAGCTTCAGGCTGAGTCCCCTCTTTCCTGTCACCCCAGCTCAGCTCCTCCCCAAGGGAGGGAGGCCCAGGGAGGCTGAGTTCTTTTTTTTTTTTTTTGAGTTGGAGTCTCACTCTGTCACCCAGACTGGAGTGCAGTGGCCGCTCCCAGCCACCGCATCCTCGACGTGCTGGGCTCTGGCGATCTTTCCACCTCAGCCTTCTGAGTAGCCGGAATTACAGGCATGCGCTACCACGCCCGGCTGATTTTTTGATTTGTTGTAGAGATGAGGTCTCGCTGCCCAGGCGGATCTCGAACCCGCGGGCTCAGGCAATCCACTCACCTCAGCCTCCCAAAGTGCTGGGATTATAGGCTGAGGTTGAGTTCTGTAGAGGACAGGCCCCAAGTAAGATCCCCACAGGCCATGACACTCTGGCGCTTGTGTCTAGGAAGCGTGGCAGCTGAGGGACAGACCCTCTCATGCGGGACTTTCCAGGCCTGGAAGGTAAACAGGCCTTGCATGCCCAGCTGGGGTAAGAGGGCGGGGCCTGGGAGTCCAGCCTGGGGCAGGATCCTGGGACTGACGAGGTGGTACTGGGTTTTTGCTGTTTGTTTTTGAGTCAGGAGTCTCACTCGGTCACCCAGACTGGAATGCAGTGGCATAATCACAGCTCACCGCAGCCTCGACCTCCTCGGCTAAGGTGATCCTCCAGCCTTGGCCTCCCAAGTAGTTGGAATTACAGGCACACCACCACACCCAGCTAATTTTTTTTTTTTTTTTTGAGTCAGAGTCTCACTGTCACCCAGGCTGGAGTACAGTGGCATGCTCTCGGCCACCGCAGCCTTGACCTACTGGGCTTAGGCAATCCTCCCACTTCTGCCTACCAAGTAGCTGGAACTACAGGTGTGTGCCACCATTCCCGGCTAATTTTGGATTTATTGTAGAGATGAGGTCTTGCCAAGTTGTCCAGGCTGGTCTCAAACCCATGGACTCAGGCAATCCTCTCAACTCGGCCTCCCAAAGTGCTGGGATTACAGGTGTGAGCCACCGTGCCCAGCCTCAATTTTTTGGTTTATTGTAGAGACGAGGTCTTGCCAGGCTGTCCAGGCTGGGTTTTTTTTTTTTTTTTGAGTTGGAGTCTCACTCGGTCACCCAGACTGGAGTGCAGTGGCCGCTTCCGGCCACCGCAGCCTCGCCTCCTGGGCTCCGGCGATCCTTCCGCCTCAGCCTTCCGAGTAGCCGGAATTACAGGCATGCACTACCACGCCCGGCT